TAATAATAAATAGATAAATAGGTAATTTGTATTAGAGTTTGATTGAAATCTTTTAAAAACTATTTTTATATCAATTAATAAATATATATATTTAATTTTTTTGAATATATCTTTGTCTAATTAGATTTTCTTCTATTAAAAACTCATAATAATTGGTAATTTGTGGTAGAGTTTTAGAGAAATTATTTTATTTTTTATATCAATTAATAAATATTTTTTATATTAATAATTATTGTCTAATTAGATTTTTCTTTATTAAAAAACTCATAATAAATAGATAATTAGGTAATTTGTATTAGAGTTTGATTGAAACTCTTTTTAAAACTCTTTTTATATCAATTAATAAATACTTTTTTATATTAATAATTCTTGTCTAATTACATTTTTTTTTTTATTATAAAAAACTCATAACAAATAGATAATTAGTTAACTTGTGTTAAGAGTTTTATAGAATTCTTTAAATATATCATTGAATAATGTGATATGTGATAGAGTTTTAAAGAAATTAATTTTTTTTCTTTAAATATATCCTTGTCTAATTATATTTTCTTAGGTTAATTACAATGACGCCCCCTGGGGTTTACTATAATGACATGTATGTACAAGTTAGATCATTTTTGAACGATGACACCCCTTTAGGTTTGATAAAGTTAAAAAAGATACTCCCTATTAGAATTTTTTATCCAAACAGACCCTTAAAAGGCGAGAAAAGACTAGATTGCCCTTCAATAAAATACTAATTTTTGATTTAAAATATCCAAATCTTCAAATGACATAATTACCCTTCTTAATCCTAATTTTATCTCTCTATCATCTCCCACTGAAAACCCATAAATTTTACTCCCAAAACCACCACCACTACTCCGCCATTACCACCGACCACTGCCACCTCCACCAAAAAAACGAAATAGAGAAATTTTAAATGGATTTGGTGAGAATTATTGCATATTATTAATTTTTTTTATATAAGTAATAATCAATGTTTTCTCTGTGTCTATCCAATATGTTTTTTCAATTTTGTGGGCAAATATATATATATATATATATATATATCTTGAAATAATGAACAGGGGCGATAATGGTAGAGAGAGTAGAGGTAGCTGTGGATGAACTGCGGCAAAGCGGTGACGAACTAGCTGTGACGGCTTGATGGAACCGATAGAGACGGGCTGGTTAACTGTAGTGGTGAACAAGGAGAGACTCTCGGCTTGGATGATGTCCACCGACGGGCAAGGAGAACTCGGTTGTTGATATCTGTGACCGGCGATGAGAGCGACGGGGAGCTCGGCTAGTGGCTGTGGATTAGTGAGACAGATCCGGATGTCCACCGGCAGGGACTCTCGGCTTTGATAATGTCCACCGGCGGGCAATGAGAACTTGGCTGTGATCTGCGACCGGCGATGAGAGCGACGGCGAGCTTGGCCAGTGGGTCCGTCGTCAACACTTGCTGTAGTCCCTTCCCTATTCGTGGAGGTAGAACTTGCATTCAAAAAAGAGAAAAGCTCTTTTTCAGACCGAGCTAATTTCCCTAAAAACATTATTTATCAATAATTTTACATATATATATATATCTATACTATTATTAAATGTGCAAAGTGTTTCAGTATTTTAGTATTTATTTATTAATTGATAAAAAAAGTTTCTATTAGATAAGGATATATTTAAAGAAAATAAAATAATTTATATAAAACTCTATCACTAATTACCATTTTTATTTTCTATAAAATTCTATCACATATAACCTATATATATATATTAGATCAGGCTTGTGGTGTGCATATTTTTTCTTCTCTCTTTATAATTGGTCTCGTAAGTTTTTTCTTTACTTTTTCTTTTTATAAGCATTATTATTATGTTATTTTACTTTTGATTTATTATTATTTTTCTTTCTAATCGATGTTTAAAAGTAGTTGATTTGTTTTATTTTTATTTTCTCTTTCTAATTGATGTTTCTCATAAATGTTTAGAAGTGGTTGATTTTTTTTCTTCAATTTTTTAATTTTTTAATTTTTTTTTACTTTTCATTTTTAGAAGCATTATTAGTATTTTTTTCTCTTGTTTTATTTTTATTTTTCTCTTTCTAATTGATGTTTAGTAGTAGTTGATTTGGTAAGTTTACTTTGGATTGTGATTTTTTTTTTCTTTTTGGTTCATTCATAATTTATTATTATTATTTTGAGTCATTATTGTTATTTATTTTCTTTACTTTTTATTTTTCAAAAGTATCATTATTCTTTTTTCTTTAGTTTTTATTTTTATTTTACTCTTTGTAGGTTTACTTTGGATTGTAATTTTTTTCTCCAGTTTTTATTTTTTTATTATTGGTTCATTCTTTATATATTATTTTGAGTTGATTTCAATGCTTTTTGATTTTCAATTGTACTTGAATTTGAATTGAATTTGTTGCTAAAAAATTTTTATATGCTATTTTTTTTTCAATTTTTATCATTTTTTATTTTTGGTTCATTCTTAATATATCATTTTGAGTAGGGTTTCAATGTTTATTGATTTTCGGTTGGACTTAATTTTGAATTGATTTTGAATTACTTATTTATCTATTTATTATGATTTTTTTAATAAAGAAAATCTAATTACACAATAATTATTAATATAAAAAATATTAATTAATTGATATAAAAAATAAAATAATTTCTCTAAAACTCTACCACAAATTATCATTTATTTTGAGTCTTTTAATAAAAGAAAATAGGGTTAATTACAATGACACCCCTTGAGGTTTGACATACTGACAACCATATATAATTTAGCCGTTTTTTGAACAATGACACCCCCTGTGAGAATTTTGATCCAAACAAACCCTTAAATTGTTAGAAAAGACGAGATTGTCCTTCAATGTTTAATTCATTTTTGTGGTAAAATATCAGAACTTATGAAAAGTCAATTTTGCCCTTACATATATACACTATTACATTAGCACCATTATATATATATATATATATATATATATAACCAAGTCCAACAAAAAAACGTCGCAACACCGTTGCCAACCACAGCCGAGCTTTACCTCCCTCACCGGATCTGTCTCACCGGTCCACAGCCCGACAACTTCGGACCACATTAACCCCGTTGAATTAGCTGATCTTACAAGATCGATCGAGCGGGAGTATGATGCGGCTGGAAGAATCGAACTACCATCTGGTTTTGAGGGCTTCGCTACCTAGCTCAACAATTATCACCCTCGGCTAAGGGCAGAGAAAAGCTCCTGCGGATCAGACGACTAGGACTATAAGCACGCCCAAAAGGATGCGAGTTTCATTTGACGAATCAGAGAGGTTTATTGTTTGATATGAAAACGAGTGAGAGAACAGTTGGATTATGGCAACTCTGAGGGTTTCATCTCTTTTTTGTTTTAAGGGTTAGGGTTTTTTGCTAGCATCCATTAGTCCCTCTCTCTCTATATATGTATGTATATTTATGTTTTTAGGGTTTTGCTTTCGAAATAAAATTATTTAATAACAAACAAAAATATAGAAAAAAAGGTATATATGTTGGTAAATGGAAGTAATAAATGATGGTACAATAGTCATTTTAGTTAGTTGATATTTTAGAATAAAAAAATATAAAAAAATTAAAGGTAAGAGTGTTTTTTAATCCATTTTTAACGGTGTCACTAATGTAAAAGTCATTTTGGCGCTATAATTTGTTTTATTTAACTTAAAGTAAAAATATTATATTTAATTTAAGTAAATATAAATATAATATACTTACTTTAGTGGGTCATTGTGAATATTTTATCAGTAAATATCTCAGAAACATTGAAGTATTTTTAATACTACACTAATGACATGTCATGGTGAAAATGAAACAAGGATGCATCAAAAGAGATGGAAAATGCTCTAATTTTGGCGCTATGATTTGTTTTATAAAATCAGGATCCTCTCTTATGTTATTTTGGTATTGTGTCAATGCCTAATGCAGCAATTTTAATTCGTTAATGTGATACTTTTAAATTAACAATGTAACAATTATAAAAATATGTTAAAATTTTAATTTATTGGTATTATAATATCGTAACAAAATATAATATATTGTATAAATGTTATATACTCGAAATAAATTGCATAACTATTACATTATTATTGTATCAAAGATATTGTGTTGCATTACAATGTAGAATTGTTGCATTATACGAGTGCATAAAATCGCCCGATGCAGGAGAAAATCCGAGATCTGCCCCAGAGCGTCAAAGGCCTATTGGACATAATAATTAATTACCGAATAAACAAACTCCATATGTTTCTCTTGATTTGACTCCGTGCCTATAACTTTCGGAGCCGTACAAGAAGTAGATCTATTTTCCCAACACCTATATTTTACTAATCAAACGCCAATGAATGCTGTTCTTAGCTGCTCTTAGCCGCCAAAATATTCGGCAAGCTAAAGAAGCAGGACATTAGACCAAAAGTTAAATTAATATTCTTTGGTTTAAAGTAGTAAAATCTATATTTCTTTTGGATACGCCGACTTGGACATACCTGAATTTGAAATTATGGATCCAAATCTCTATATCTTTGTATAGATAACAAATTGAGCATATGAATTTGTATCCTCTTATCATATGAATAAATTCAATTTTTTTTTTTTTTTTTTTTTTTTTTTTTGTAGAAAAATAAGATGCACTTTCCTTTTTTTTTTTGAAAGTATTTATAATTATGAATCTTTGATTAACACATCAATTAATAACAAAAATCAACTAAGAAAATTTATTATTTTTCCTAATCATATATACTATACATAAATATATATATAGACAGACGTGTATGTATTGTGCACTGATTTTGGTCACGCCTCACGGCATGGAGCATATACCCATAATTTTATTATATATATATATATATATATTTGGATATAATGTCACTAAACTTTAACAGAAAAACAAATTTAGTACCTTTCAGAAAAGAAAGAGAAAATGAGTTCTTTTCTAAGTTCCCAGAACCTTTTCTTCAACGTACCAGATTGGTAGATTCCAAAGAATATTACAGTTCCTTTGGCTATTTTAGTCTGTAAATCCCCTATGGGTACCAAATCAAAGGCCCGATCAGTATCCACGTGTCCAAAGAATCACACCACGGTCAACACCACTAATTTAAGACAACAAACAAGTAGGAGTATGTCCCATATAAATTCACCATCCCACTCTCTTCCACACACGTCTGTGTGTATATATATAAGCCAAACAATTACTCCATGAGAAGATCACTATATCTTCAAAAATAATATGGTGAAAACGTCGTCGTCACCTTTTGGTGATCCAGACCTCCGGTCACCCCTCATCCCTCCGGCCAAGAATCTCGACGGAGAATCCGAAGCCGAGAAGCTATGCATAGATGACATGCTCCAAAAATATTGCGGCGAGTTTGGGGCATGGCAATTGAAGCACTTTGTGTTGACGAGCTTGGCTTGGGCTCTTGAGGCCTTCCACGCCATGGTCATGATCTTCGCGGACCGCGAACCGGGGTGGCGGTGTGTGGGCGGTGGACCGGAGACGGTTTGTTGGTCATCCGCCGTACAGAGTGTTTGTGGGCTGGAGCCCGGTTCGTGGGAATGGATCGGTGGTCCAGGAAGCTCGACAGTAGCTCAGTGGGGATTGGTCTGTGGTGACAAGTACAAGGTTGGGTTGGTCCAGTCCCTGTTCTTTGGTGGCTGCTTGATCGGTGAGTTGTCCTATTCTCTCTCTCTAGGTTTTTCTCACATGCTCTCTGACTCTCATTAATTTCTTATCTTATCTGTCCATATATATATATATATATATATATATGTATATATAATTTTCTTGGTCTAATTTAGCTGCATCTTTAATATAAAAATTAATACTATATAATTGGGAAATCCTACAACTGTCGATGCCAAGTTTGTCTTTATGGTGTTCCAAAAATGCATTTATAGGCGTGATGATGAGGATGCAATGGTCATTTACTGTTTAAGATATAGATGGAAAGTTGGAAACTAAACATAATACATGTGTATAATAATAATTGTATATATAGGTCAGAGAGGTGACAGAAGCTGTCTGAATATGCATTTTGTCCTTTTTCATCTGTGCTTTCATTAGTTTCCATTTAGTAATCATCATTCATAATATTAATTATTATTATTATTATTGTCATAATTAAGCTAAGTTAATGCCCACTTACATTGCACATGTCTACATTAAGAGATATTTCATAAGTAGAGAAGTTAGATACGTATCTCTTTGGTGCACATTGTTGTAACCTTTTTCTTGTGGTACTTCAAACTAGTCTACCAACTTTTCACCGAAACTCATGAATGGACCAAAAACACACGGTACTATTTTATCTGCCCTTTTGAAATAGAAGGTCAAAAGCACTTATGTTAAGTTATGTTTGGAGGTAATAATAAATGTTTTGGATTTAAAATTATAAAAAAATTAGCTTAAAATTTGTATTAAATTTGTTCCAATCTAAAATCACCGGTGTTAGAATTTTTAATTAAAATTTTAGTGTGCAATGGAAGTTAATTGATCAACTTTCAAGAATGTTTGTTAAAAAAAAAAAACTCAATTTTTTTTCAATTTCTTACATGTTTTTGTCATTTCTAGCTAGTTTATACATATATTTTCTTTTTTCCATGAACATTTTTTCCTTTTATGTCAATTCCTTATACTTTCCTTATATGTTTTTTTTTTTTTCCCATTAAACTCAAACTCCAAGAATTCACATTTCACAAGGTTCATATTTTTTTATATTATTCCAACGTGACTTTTATTATTGATAAGATATGAGTGAAATTAATTCAGTTTGTGGGGGAAACAAGTTGCAACTAAGTAACTATCTTAAAATATAATAATGTACATTTGCATAAAATTTTAAATACGGTATGGCTAATTGGGTATTGTTTAGTACTCGAGTTAAAATATCCTGGAATTATCTGTAATTTCAAAATAAAAATAAAATTATAGCGCAGTTTTAGACTTCTCTTAATTAATGCCCCAAGGATATGCTCGTTTGAAACGCTTCAATGATATAAATGTTGAGTTAGGTTGTCATTAGGTTTATGGATTAAGTTTTCTCTCTCTCCTATTTTAAGAGATTATATTTGACTATAGAAGATTGTATGACTGTAATTAAGGGATATAGCTTGATTCTATGAAATTATATCTAGAAGCTCTTTATTTATACTCTGTACATATTTAAATGATATAAATAACTAATATTTGAATGCATGCTCCATCTAAATCATATAAGACAGGAATGAGAGTGAGTGTTTGGCAAAATTTAAGTCACATTGACACAGAATGAGAACGAAAATGAAGACACGAGAGCGATATATATCGAGAAAAATTGTGCAGTGTCCGAATGCTTATGGTTCAAATTAGAAAGGCTAAGAATCCTTTTCTTTTTCACGCCGCATCTTTTTCACATACCAGATGACGACATAAAAAGGTACCATCACGTGTCGAGGTGACCCATATGGTCCGGCTGAATCAAAGACACTCTAAACTAATAAAGTGAACATAAAAAAGATTTAAGTAGGAGTTATTTTGACTAATTTAAATATCATTACAGAAAAGTTTCAATTAAAATTGCTTGGAGAAAATTTGGGAGTGAAATTATTTATGTAAGAATAGTGACTGATGATTAATGTTGAGTTTGGTAAGAAGAAAAAAATGATGGATGAGATATTTTTAGATAAGAAATTGCATCTTTCCTTCTTTTTGTTAGGTTGGTTGGAAGAGAATGTTGGTTATAAGAGAAGGAAAAATAAAGTTTAAATTGTTTTTACCGTAATATTATAATTAATACACGATAATATTATAATTTAAAACTTGTATAATTTGGAATAACATCTAATTTAAAACTTTTATAATAGTCTACTTTCCTGACTCATCTTTTACGTTATTTTTTGGAGGAACAAAAATTTGTATAGGAGGAAGGATAACATATCATCTCTCCTATAATCATTTAAAAAAAAAAAAAAATTTTGTATTATTTTTACATAACAAAAAAAATTTGTTCATTCTTTTTTATTTTCTTTCCACCACCCTCTTTCTTCCTTCTTACCAAATAAAGCAAACAAAACAAACAAATCACAAGAGGCCTATGAGTCCCAATAGTGTTGCCTTTGGATGGCAAAGACATTTACCCTTTGGGAAAAAATTGCGAGTACTTCAAGTACCAATATAAATGTGTGTTAGGTGCACAACTTTCTTATCAAGCTCAAAAATAAAAAAAATGTATGTTTTAAGTCTTAAGCTTGAGAGTAGACAAGGTGATATTTAATACCATATCTCCAAGTACCATCGATTAAAAATGATAGAAAAAAAGTAAACAAACACTCCAAAAGATGGATAACATGACCCATGAAATAAAATTAGGCTAATCAAGTCTAAATAGATTTATAGTTAAATCAAAATTCTTTTCTTCTTCTTTAACAACATAATATTCACCCGGATTTTCATTATTTATGTTGTGCCTTTTGCACTCAATAACCCTTTTTCATATCGGGATCAATTTCATTTGTTTCTGGATTAAGACAAGAATTACGAAGACTTCTTCACTTTCATTGTGCCCACGTTTAGATTCAGTAAGGTAATTAATATTGCTAATTGCCACTCACCACAATTTCCTTGTTGAACTTGTAGCAGATGGTGTAAGCCATAGCTAGCTAATCAGTGCGAAATTAACAATACTTTTGAATAAAGTGAGGGTTTAAAAACTCGACATTTTAAGTTCATTGTTTTTTTCTGAACTTAACTTGTACGGTATATTATTTGTTGCGAGTAAATATGTTCATCATATTGGTTAACGAGTGGAACACATCCTACCACCGAAAAAAAAAAAAGAAGAAAAAAAGGGTACAATAGTGACGAGTACTGTGCACTTTTTGACAAATTGGTCACAATAATTTTCCACTAGTACTAGATGAACAGTTAGTTTTCGGGTACCTGGCAACCAGTAATCAGGTTTTTGCATTCAATCATGAACTCTCATGCATTGAACATGATCAGAAAACTTTAAATTTTGATTTTGTTGTTTCCATATGAATCCATAATGGAGGTCAATTTTAAAATAATTTTTGCTTTGATGGTTTAAGTAGTCAAGTATAGACTGATGTAATATTTGAAAGGAAAAAAACTAAGAAGTATATTTATATGACTTTTACATTGTGTCATCATCTTGTCACTATAGATCATTTTTTTATTTCTCATTGTTTACAAGTATTTCCAAATTAACGGTAATCAATTTGGCTCTTCAGGTGCTGGAATATTTGGCCACCTCTCAGATTCCATCCTGGGAAGGAAAGGATCTCTAACAGTTGTTTGTATCTTCAACGCCATCTTTGGTTGCTTAACAGCACTATCTCCCAACTTCTTGACCTATGCACTACTCCGACTCCTCACCGGCCTCAGCACCGGTGGCGTTGGCCTCTGTGCTTTCGTCCTTGCCACCGAACCCGTAGGCCCAACAAAGCGTGGTGCTGCAGGAATGTCCACATTCTACTTCTTCTCAACCGGGATAGCCCTCCTCTCCGGCATAGCCTACGTTTGCCAATCATGGCGCTCTCTCTACATCGCTTCCTCCATCCCCTCCATCCTCTTCCTCGTCCTCATCCTCCCTTTCATCTCTGAATCCCCGCGATGGTACCTCATTCGCGGGAAGAGCAATCAGGCCTTGGAAATCATGCACAGCATCGCCAAAACCAATGGAAAACACCTCCCCCAAGGTGTCGTCCTTGCGCTAGACGAGGAAGCAAACGATACCCCAATTGATACTAAGCAAAAAAATAAGGTAGAAGAAGCCATAACAGGATCGGTGATTGATGTGATACGGTCTCCACTCACTCGTGTTCGATTGTTTCTAGCAGTGGCCATTAACTTCTTGTGCTCAGTTGTGTACTATGGACTTAGTTTAAACGTGGTCAACCTCAAAACAAATCTGTACCTCAATGTGCTCCTTAATGCTGTAGCGGAAATGCCTGCCTTCACATTGACCGCGGTGTTGTTGGATAAGTTTGGTAGGAAGCCATTAGCAATTGGGACACTGTGGTTCAGTGGGCTGTTCTGTGTTATAGGGAGCTTGGTGGGAAATTATGGAGTGTGGAAGATAGTGAGGATGGTTTGTGGGATTTTGGGGATATTTGGGATGGCCGGGACTTATAATTTGCTGTTTATATACACAACGGAGCTGTTTCCGACTGTAGTTAGAAATGCAGCGCTTGGATGTGCAACCCAGGCTGTGCAGATGGGGGCGATTTTGGCACCATTTGTGGTGGTGTTGGGTGGTGGATTGCCGTTTGCGGTGTTTGGGGTATGTGGGGTTGCGGGAGGATTGCTTGCGTTTTACCTGCCGGAGACTTTGAACCGGCCGTTGTATGATACCATGGCTGGAATGGAGGGCGGGGAAAATGCTTTTGGGACTGCTTAAGTTGTTTTTAAGCTCCAAGTTATAACTTAATTTGGCTCTCAACTTTGTCACTTGAAGAATACATATTGTAAGCTTAATTTAATTCCATGATCGGTCAATGTTTATTTTCGTAGCGATTGTTTTTGTTTTTGTTTTGGTTCATGGGCTCATGTTAGTTGTGTTCTAGTTGAGAAAACATAAATTTGGTCTGGTTGACAAAAGGTTAAGGAATGCAGGGAAGCAAATCTATGAGTATGAACTACGGAGTCAAGTTGATTGATTTTCATATATATTTTTGACATAAACAACATTAAACTACTATGGACCTATGGTAAGTCGAGTTAGTGGTGAGATTAATGCAAAACGTAAGGGGAAGATAGAGTAGAGTGACGGGAGGGATTAACTCCAGTACCACTCCTTACGCGTTTCAATAAAAAAAATAATATATTAACTTTAATAACAAAATTAGTAAAATTAAAAAATAAAAAATAAATAAAAAAGAAAGTCAGATCGACCCGTTTTAATTGAGTAACTACCCTTTCTCTTTTCTCTCTTTTTTTCATCGATTCCCAAAATCACGCCCTCCTCTCTCCATAGAGTACTGCAAAACGTTAATTCCTGCATCCCTGTCAATTCAGTAGAAGCAAAACACACATTGCGGCATTATTTATTTATTTATTTTTATATATCTTCGTGTGCGAAGAAGTATAAGAAAGCAAATAATTTAATGCCTTTGGCTTCCAATGCTTAACGGACATGAGAATTAAAAGTCCTCACGCTGGGACGCTGTAGGTGCAAAATTTCGCTCAACCAATAATGATTGAGAAAAATAGAACAACACACTCAAAAAACAATAAGAATAAATAAGAACAGTGTATAGAGAAGCGTAGAATTGTTTGATCCCTTTATTGGAGGTCTAAGCCTCTATTTATATACAAAAGATTGTAAAATTATGGTAGGACTCGCGTTACTTGCCCTCCAATTCTTTCTATATAAACATTCTTTACTAATAGAGTTCTTTCCATTGTCTAATTTTCCATAAATAGAACTTGCCTTGTACAGAACTTCCTATCTCAGAATTTTCCTTCTACGGTAAATCCTTCAACTGGTAGGACTTGTGCATTCTTGAATAACTGGGCTGAACATATTTTGATCTGGCTGGGCTTGAGTAACGGACCGGATGTTAAATATTAACAAGTTGGGCTGATGACCTCTTGATTCGGCCTTGATGGAGGTTGGAGGACAAATAACAATGGTCTTGGGTTATAAATACCCTCAATTTGGGCTTGAGCATGATGAGCCTTATATGTTCTTGGAATGTAGATATGTGTAGTGATGATGTGTGCGCTTTTTATTGGAGGAAGTTTTTTTTTCTCCACACTTTGCCCCAAATTTCATTTTTAATTGAGTGACGGCTCCTATTAAAGAGGGAATTGAAACCGGTTTTTTACTTTGCTTCAGAAACGGTTCGAGGTTTTTCATTATTACTCCGTCATACAAGATTTTGCAAGAGTTACATTCGCCCTTGCTGCACTTCTGCGTTCTTCATTCCATCGCTTTGTCAGGTTAGTTTTTTTTCGCATCTTTCTCTTCAATCTTTCATTATGAGTACTTCATCTACTCCCGAACGTATAGATATTGGGGATTCTGAATCCACACCTTCATCTTCCCCCGTTCGCATTAGGGCTTGTAATACCCCTAATTTAAAAGGATAGTCTCGGCAGTTATTTATTATTTTTGTTGTATTTTTGCATGATTATTTGGTTTAATTATTTTATTTAATTGTTTACCTGTATGACGTGTATTTAATTGGTATCTATTTATTTGTTTAAATTGCATTTTATTTTATTTAATTGATTATTAAAGGTTTTAATTTAGGAAGTATTTTAATTAACTATTTTTTTTTCCATAATTGAGGGTTTAGTTTCTTTAGCCGACACAGGATTTAATTAAGTTCTATGGGCCGGTTAGGATTTAGTTAGGGCTTTAATTAATTTAGGGTTTTGGTATAACTCTATAAATATATGGGTATACGTCTGCCGAGGGTTTCTAAAACCCTATTCACCATATTCCCGTATACAGTAAAGAGAGAAGTTGAGAGAACAGAGCATCGTAACGGTCTGTCAAGGAGAATAACAGAGAGGACCAAGGGGGGTGTTTGGTGGATTAGATCAGAACCAGAGGAGGCTAGAAGGTAGTCAGTGGTTATCGGAAAGCTTAGAACAACGACGACAAGGTTTTGTTTATAAAACTGTACAGGCAAGTTCTTATCTTCCTCCTTCCCTTTGATTTGTGTTCTGTGCACCTGGACATCTCTAGGAGATTAATTGGCCTTAAACTGAACCATGCATGTTTTATATATGTTTTACTTGATTGTTTTATCTGTGAAATTTATTTACAAAACAGTGGTAGCACGTATGTCTCCTTGACTCTGTTTTGGCGTAACGTCTCACTGATTTAATTTTTATTTTGAATCTTACTGAAATTAACCGAGGTCTGATTGAATACTAGATGTAATTTAAGACTTCAAATTTAAAATTGGAGGAAGAATAGAGGGGTTGGGATAAAACTAATGTCGTAATTTAGTTTAAGTATTGTTCTTCAACTATGCTAGTTTAAATGGCTTGATTAAACTCTGTAATTGTTTGCAAAACTATTGTAGACAATCTTGGGGAATGCTTCTAGACTAAATTAAGAGTCCTAAGATTAGTTTTAGAGACCAACAGAGTGGTTGAATTTGATCAGAGAAGGAGCGGACGGACTGAAACGAAGTAACGGGGACAGGGGCTCTCAAAGGAGGTGAGAGCCGGCTCCATAGAAGTGGGAGCCGGCTCCCACAACAAAGTAGAGCCGGCTTTAAGAAGTCCTAGAGCCGGCTCTAGGCTGGAAAAGAGCCTGCTCCAAATTCTGGAGCAGGCTCCCTTGTTCTTTTTGGTTTATTTTAATTTTTTTTAAAGTTTTCTACGTACTATGTTCACTGTTTGGGCAATCTGGGTTATTAATCGGTTTTAAAATTTTAGTTGGGTGTTAAATAATGATTTTAACTTGTAACTAAGGTCTTGAATTGCATAAATTTACCCCTTAGTTTAAATGGAATTAACAGTACGCTATTTGACAACTTTGCGTACAGTTAACGGCTGGAAGGAGATTTGTTGATTAATTTTAATCTGATGGTTTAGGGTGCTATAAAATGATTTTAAATTTATTTTTGATGCACGATGAAGTCTTTTAAAGTAATATATTGGACTTGTGGCATAGTGGGGGCTCTGTGCTAAAGGTTACAACACAGTATAAGTATATGACTTAGTATTCTGTTACCGAATGGAGGGAACTGGATCGCTTAGTTTAATTTAGTAATTTATTGGACTATAATATTATTATAGAACTAATTTTAAATACATGATAGGGTCATTGTTTTTATTAAATTTGAACTATGCATGTGTTGAATGTTAATTGTTAGAATAGTTTATTCTCCGATGCAATTACATGGATTATTACTGGATTTTATTTGCTAGATTGTTAAGATTCCTTCTGCAAGTATTGGATGGTGGTTTTTGGACTGTAAATTATTGAACTGTTATATATGTTGTAATTTACATGGATATGGAGGATTGTATGTACCGGTATGGGACGGTGACATACTAGGGACGGTTTAGCTCAAAACGCATAAACCTAACCTAATGGATTAATGGAATGGATTGAAAGATATCAAATCCTGATTGTGGCTAAGTCAGATCAGCTGTAACCAAGTTGGATGACTTCCTGGATTAACGGATGGTAGTTAAGTCATATCCACTGAATAAGTTGAGTGACTAACTAGTTGGTTTATTGTAGGTCAGTTTAATAAATAGTTGAACTGCTTACCCTGGATTTGGACGGACTTTATATATATGTTTATGGTACCACGAGTTGAGCTTGAGTCTCAGACTCGTTGGTTAGGGTGCGTATATGCAGTGGATGCGTAGCTGGTTATAATAGGTTGAGGTGTATCCTGTTAGGTCTAGGTACTCATGCCCACCTTTGGGTGCGTATTCGCATGTTGCCTTCTATTTAGGTTGAGACCCCTATTATAGACTAGTGAATGTCCCTTAGTGTGGATATATTTATACGTATGGACTAGATAGATATTGTGAGGTGTCTACGGTGTATCTGCGTATCGGGTCACTGTATGGATTGCAGTTAGATTAGAACTTGCTCGTGGGTCTGACCTACTCCTTTATTATTCTTTTCAGGTACAGGACGGTTCCAGCCTTAGAGCTTGATCGTGCTTGTCGAGGACAGTCTCACTTTCATCTGATTACGTAGGACTGCTCTCGATGTTTCTAGTATTATCTATTTTCAGTTTCATTCTCAGTTGAACTTTTAGTTAGGGGTCCATCAGTGGATTCCCAAGTTGTAACTTTGAGGTTTTGGAGGATTGGAGTTTAAATTTTCAGTTGTACATAGAGGATTTTATAATTAATGTTTCTTTCAGTTTTATTCTATCTTTATTGTTCTTTTTGTCATCTGTGTTCGTTTTAAAATACTCTAATTGTTTGATATTCCCTCGGGTTTGGGCCTGGGCCTGATCAACCCGTGTCTCGGATCCGAGGGGTATCACAGTTGGTATCAGAGCACTCCAGGTTCAAGTGTCTCTAGGACGTTTCGTATTAAGACTTCCGCGTAGCGTTTTTTTTATATAGAGCTTATGTTTAGGATTCGTTGAATTCTTTTACGGTTCGTTTAAACTCGTACTGATGTCTGTCTTTCTATTTTAACAGCATGGTTAACACTGGAAGAGGACATAACATGAACAGTCGACAGAGGAAAGCGGCACGTAGACAGCAGGAACGTCTACAACGTCGACAAATAGAAGAAGAGCAGCAAATGCCAGGGTTTCAGGAGGAGCAGGAGGAAGTTCAACAGACTCAGGGTCGGGACAGAGATTCAGAGATTCCTCCACACCTCAATGACCTTGTTGCTCGGGCTATAGAGGCTGGGGTAACAGCTGCACTCCGGAACCAACTACAGGCTCAGCAGGCACCTGTACCAGCACCAGTGGTTCAGACGGATTCTTGGGGAAAGGCAAGGAGCTCTTTCACAAAGGGGAGTCCACCTGTGTTCTCAGGCTCCATCGATGCGAGAGCAGCTCAC